GTTAGCGCGATGATTTGGTCTTGGATGTGTCATTTGATCTTGGATGTAGTAAGCGAGGTACGAAGAACGGACCCCTGAAAACTACACCCACATTAATGTTTTGTTTTGTTTTCGGCAGGGGGGTGTTTGAGTGCACTGACACCTCTCAGCTTCCATAGCCATCCTTCATGGATGAAGACCCAATAAAAACACAAGAAGTGAGTCTTATTTTGAATCTTGGAGACAGTTTATTGCCATCATGTTGTCTGCAGGTAGAGCCTGAGATTGGTTCCTGATACAACCAAAACAACAACAAAAGACAACCCAACACATACAGAGAGAAAACAACAACAATAACAAAAAAGCAACTGAGGGGGTCTGGGCCAACAGGAAGAGGGCTACACCATGATGTCATCATATCCATATCCGTGTTTCGAGTTCTGAAGCGACAACACGCCGTAATGTCACAGATTCTGAGGTCATGATTAGAGCAGAGGTGCAGGGAATGGGCACAGCCTGTCAGTGAGGGGAGTTCTAGAATGTTCTGGAATTCTGCCGAGTCATGGCTGCTATGGCAACACCCCACCCCCTCCAAGTCCCTCCCCCATTCCACCTCAAAAAACAACAAAACTAACCAAAGAAAAAGAATAATGACTAAAATCAGCTTTATGAAGTAAAACAAACTTTACTGTTTGATTCTAAGTTAACCCACAAACACACAAACAGACGCCCAACACACACACACTCAACATACACAAACACATACACTAACTCAACGGTTTGCGTGAGGGCAACAAAACTCCCTTTAGCAGCATCCACAATAACCAAATATTAATGACACGTATAACTTTAGGATAATTATATTAATAAGTGATGATGACTGATGACATCATAAACCAAAGGTCAAACATGGAGGTTGGTTAAAATACGCAGTACATGATGTGATACACAAATGAAAAACAAACAGCCAATCGGAGGCCCAAGCTGGAAAAAAATCTAAAAAAATAAAAATAAAAATAATAATAATAATTAAAAAACAAAAAACAAATTTTCCCATCAGGCCCGGCAGTGGAAGCAGGTTTAGAGATTGTCCTGTGATTGGTCAATTCCAGAGATTCTGCTGACATCATGCTTCTCAGGCCAACTGCAATCACTTTCATTTTCATCATAATTATCGTCATCGTCATGGCACTGACTCCCTCTTGCAGCAGGAAGGAGCGCTGCCATTGGTTGATTCTTACCTTTTTATGAAAAAAGCCTTAAAAGCCACAGAGCTCATAGTTGCTCCACTTGTTAACTCCCAGAATCCTCTGCTTTGAGTGGGTGGAGTGTGCGCAGTATCGCCAACTCTCCCAGCCCCTCTTGGCAGTAAACTTGTCTTCATTAATTCAGTGCGAATAAAACGCACATAAAACGCTGCGTTCGCTGTGACGCAGGAAGCTGGAAATTTGTTTCCTATCTTAAAGATGTGAAGTGAACACAACACCAGCAAAAATATGTGTGTGTAAATGTCATGTTTGAAAAAGAGAAGAAATTAAAAGCAACCTGAAACAGGTGGAGGCCACAATTTCCAGGATCCCTACGTGCCAGGAAGGCAGCAGTGAATTTTCCCATCCTTCTTGAATTGGATATAATGTAAAAAGTGTCACATCCTTACAGCAGGAATCTTGTATCACACCTGACATGCTGTAGTGTCTGTTACTTCTTCAAAAACAAAACGCTTACTGTATATCAGCTTCTTCTCTCCCTCAAAACCTTCTCCTTCTCAATACATCTCCCAGAATTCCTTGCTTATCTAGCCCTACATAAACAAATCCATCCCTTCATGATTATGTCTCTGAGCTCCAACATCAACTCCCACCTTGGGACATCATCATGTGTTACGCATCACTTGCATTTCCCACGATTGCCAGAGACGGTGAACCTACCGTCAGGACATTTCACGTGTTTAAAAATCAGATTTAACACTTCAAATATACACACACAGCTCTTAAAAACAAACATCTGACAGGTAAGACAAGCGCAGCACCTACTACACTTCCTCTCTGCACCTCTTCTTCCTCAGGGGCCCATTTACACTCGCCGTTCTCACCCTCAACTTCTCCATTTTTGTTTTGCTGTTTTTGCAAATGCCCCATTGGCACTTATTATTCCTGCACTGATGCTTTTACCCTGACTAGCAAGTGCCGCACAGCCGCTTTCTTTGGTTTGTAGCACTCAGCGATGCTGCATTCAAATCACATGGGAGAAGATGTAAATACAAGTTTACTGTTTCTGATTAAATTCCTAATCATCAGTTTGAGGGTTGAAGTGAGTTTAACAAGCTGTACAATCTGTAATTCCCATGGAACCTGAATGCAGGCGAAGCTCACAATTTCACCTATTCTTCACCTGCTAGCACTAAAAGCTAAAAAAAACCCCTCATCAAACACAAAAACACCACCCTGCTAACTGACGTCCTTTATCTTTAAAACAAAATTAGCTTCACCAGCAGACATGTCGGCTTTAAGGCACCTCGTTAACACAGTGATCAACGCCCGAACATCAGCCATCGGTGAAATTTAAAAAAGAAAAAAAAAGCTAAATCATTACGTGATCAAAGTCTGACAGAATGACAAACTCCATAAAATAGAATAAAACAAATTGAAATTCAATGTTTGCACGTCAGCATTGCTAACAGCTCACCTGTGCTAAGCTAAAAGCTTCACAAACACACGCACAGCAGGACAGAGGATACAGGGTGTGTAAAAGTGCTCAAATGCACACACGTGCACACACAACCACACTCTCAGCCGATTCTCTACAGCATCAGGATCACCCCATGTCCCGCAGTCAATCAGGAGCCTCCGTGTTCAGGAGGTCAGAGGTCAGATCGGTGTCTCCTTGTTGTTATTGTTGTTGTTGTTTTTGAGGTCCGGTGCGCTGAACTGCCGCCTCATCCTGGGCGGAGTGTTGAAAGCCCACACCCCTGGCGGCGGCACAATACCCAGTAGCATGTCAGCAGGAAGGGCCGGGGCCCCTGACCGCGGCAGGCTGTGGTAATGGGGGTGAGGGTGAGGTCCAGGTTGGAATGGTGCATTGTGGGGGTTGTAGTAGGGATGGTGGTGGTGGTACTGATGGTGCTGGCGTTGATTATAAGGGAAGCCTCCGTCTCTGTCTCTGTCCCGGTCTCTGCTTCCTCCTCCTCCTCCTCTGCCTCCTCCTCCTCTCTCCCCCCCTGGCCCAGGGGAAAACCCCCTCCTCTGTCTTGGTCGCCCCTGGTGACCACCGTTGCCACCGCCGCTGAAGTGCTGGTCATTGTCGTAGCTCCCGTTGCCCTGTGGCGAGCTGTCCAGGGAGTTTCGGCGGTAACGACGTTGCTGGTTTTGGTTGTTGCCCTGGTTGTTGTAGTGGTAGCCACCCTGGTTGCCCTGGTTACGCTGCTGCCAGGCACGATGAGGGCTGGGGGTGCGCATGCGAGGAGGCTGAGCTGGGAAGGGGAGGGGCAAGAGACCAGGGAGTTGACCTTGTGGGGGAGGCGGAGGTGAGGGAGAACCTGTAGCTTCTCCTCCCCTGTTCTCCTTCTGCTCACCAGCATCAGTTCCTGCTCCTCCTCCCTCGACCAGACCCAGAGCTTGCAGGGCAGCGCTAGCGGGTCCCCAGGACAGCCGGTGGGCAGGGTTACTCTTAAAGGGGAACTTGAGCTTGCACTCCTGGGGAGGGATGAAGCGACCGGTTCCCGGGAGGTGGATCGGGACAGTGGGGGTGTTCTGACCTGGAAGAGTTGGAGGAGCAAGGGCTGGGGTCAGGGCACAGACTGTAAATAAAAGATGGACACAGTACAAGCAACCGACTCAACTAATTCCAGATCATTTGATAGGTTTATCGATGACGATCAATAGTGGGGACTTCTAATGGAACTTTCGCCATAACGGTACAGCCACACCCCCGTGCTCACCTTGGCTTTGGTTCTGTCCTCGCAGCTTCTTGGTGATGTTCTGCTGTTGCAGGTTCAGGAGCCGCTGCTGCTCCTTTTTCATCCAGCGGAGCCGTCCTCTCCTGAATGCCGGGTCCTCATCCATCAGCCGCTGAACTCTGACCTCTGGGTGGTTGGGGCAGTCGTCGTCTTCGTCCACGTCCCCGTCTCTCTCTCTCTGAGGGGATTCTCCTCCCTCGCCATTCATGTCGTCGTCCTGGAAACAAGTCAAACAAAAATTAACACTGGAGGAGGCAACAATGGTTTGACGGAAGGTGCGAACTTACCTGAACAGGTATGATGCTCTCCATCTTGATCATTCTATCTCTCAGAGCTTTGATCTCCTCGTCCTTCATGTTGTTCTGCAGCTTCACCTCCTGCAGAAGTCGCGCACGTTTAGCTCTGCTCCACTAGCACCATCCTCAGGTTGTGAACAAAACAAGCTTAGCATAACTCACCTCCAAAATATCTGTCAGCTTATCGATGTGAGCCTTCAAATCGTACACGCCTCTCTTCTCTCCACCTTCCACTGTCTCTCCTCCTCCACTACCACCACTTCCTCCTCCTCCACCACCACCTCCTCCTCCTCCTTCTTCAGCGGCAGGGCTCCTCTCCTCTCCGATGCCCACAGTGTCGCAGACGTCCTGGGCCACGGCCCTCCAGCTCTCCCTCTCGTTGGTGTCCTTCTTGGCGTACATGCGGCACAGCTCCTTCATTTTGACGATGGAGAGCGCCTCGATCTCCTGACGGGAGTGACGGAAGTCTCCCAGAGCCACCTGAGGGGGCGCCACACACAGAGGAACAGTTTAAAGAAGAAGAAAAAAGAAAACATCAAAATGCTCCTCCTCTAATGTCCTCTGGACTGTTTGTGCTGGTTAATTTAATAGTAATAATAATATATAGTTTATTGATCTCTATAGGGAAATTCCTCTCTGCATTTAACCCATTCATTCAGTGAAGCAGTGGACAGGGACGGTACCTTGCTCAGGGATACCTAAGAGTACCCGTTTAGTGGATTCAAACCCCCGACCTCCGATCATGGGGCCACCACTCGACCTACTGAGCAATCCCTGCCCCTGGATTTGCTGGATTTACTGTTAATCCACCAAATTTGTCCACAGATTCTTGTTCCTGCAGGTTATTATCTACATCAGGTACAATGACATCATCACATGGCCTTGGAACCACATATCAATGGGCTACAATAACCCTTTTTTAGTATCAAGGCTCCGGAAACACCTCATAAAATGTACAGTGCACAATATATTATGACGTGTCAGTTGTACTACAGACCATCCAAGAACTCTGAGCTCTAGTGGACTTATTTTTTACACTAATTAGCTGATACCAGTGTCAGTGTGACGCTCCGTACAGTCTATGCATTGAGAACTCAACACAGTGGCAGGCAAAATGCTACAGCCGAGGCTTCAAAATGTGGAAAGGAAAAGGAAATGTGGCATTAGCTACGACTATCTGTTATACAGAGTTTATGGTAACGCAGCAAAGTCTGTAACAATCTACTTATGCTGGCTTTAATGGGAAATGCATCATATATGATTCTCATGATTTACCACTCATATGTTGTGTTTGACTGGAGCAATGGAGTCTAACTAATTGGGAGTCTGTCTAAGTAAGTCCTTAATCTTTGGTAAACTGCATCTTGGATTAAACCAAAACGTCCAACACTACAGAGCAGTCTAAAGTGCCCACCTGGAGCCGTCTCCAGGAGGGTTTAATGGTTTAAAGGACACGTCCAGTGTATTTTTCAAGGTAAAGGTTTAATTCTTTGCCCCTGAATGCACAGATATGGGAGCATCTATTAGAAAACGTTCAAAAATGTTTATCTGTCCCTCTGAAACCAGCCAGAAAACACTGATATCACGTGTGTATGTTTGTGAGACCTCGTAGCAGATCTCTTTGACGGCCTGCATGCGGAGGTCCTCCATGGTCACCCGTTTGGGGTCTTTGCTGATCCTCCTCCTCTGAGGGATCTGATAGACTCGCAGAGGCTCCCTCCTCTTACCGCTGCTGGGCAGACCGCAGCGCTTTACTATGGACTGCACCTGGACACAGACACACAGGTGAGGTGGGGAACAGCCACTAAGGTCTTTATGTGAAGTCACAGCTACATGAGGAGCTATGAAGGAGCAGCTCGAGGAGCTGGTACCTTATTGGCCGGCAGCTTCTCTCTCAGGGAGGAGATGAGCCTCCAGCTTTCCTCACAGGATCGTTTGTCCGAGTCGTCCCCGCTGTCGCTGTCTGCGTACTGCACACACAGAGAAGGTTAAACACCAGAAGCAGTCACCACACGAGCTCACGTGGAGGAGAAACTCACCAGTCGGTGTTGCTCCAGCAGCAAGTCAGCCTCCTCCTTCTCTTTACGGTACTGAGTCTCCACGTCCTGCAGTCTGCAGCACACACACACACACACACACACACACACACACACACACACACACACACACACACACACACACACACACACACACACACACACCAAACAACCAATGAGATGATCAGTAATCAGGCAACAGCTCTGATATCTGACGTGGTTTACAGTGTGTCTAGAGATGCTATCTGAAACCCAAACTTCAGGGTGTAGTAAAGGTACGTCTACCTCTTCTCCATCTCCAGCTTGATGTCGATGCCTTGTTTCTCCAGCAGCTCTTTCTGGGCATAGTTCCAGTCCTCCGGCTCCTCCTGCTGCTCCATCGTGGCGCTGCGCTCCCTCTCCAGCCGCGCCTGTTCCGGGTGGTTGAATCGAAACACGTGGTTCTTCCCCATGACGATGCGGTTACCTAGAGACGGAAACAGACAGGAAGCGGAGTCTGAGGCCGGCTGCAGGTTTTGGGTGGTGTATTTACTCCATCGATCAAACCTTCTTTGTTTTTCATGTGATGCATAATAAGCTGTAAACTAAAGGGAAACCTGATGTAACAGCTGCAGCAGCCGTGTAACGGCAGGTGCTTCCTGTTTGTTTAAAGCTGCCGGGTGTGTTTCTGTACCTTGTTTTAATATGACGGCGTCTGTGATCTGCTTCCCATTAACGTAGGTCTCTGCTCCGACTAACGGCTCCAGAGTGACCACCACTGCAGAGGGAGACACAGAGAGTCCAAGCAAAGGAAGAAAAACTCATCAGGAGAACTGAAAGACAGAACTGTGAAACACGAGGATATGACTCATGAGCATGAAACAGTCTGAAGGCAGGAATCAGCAGCAGCGATGGATGTTTTATGGAGGCTTCATCAAAGACTTTAATATCTGGGCTTCCTCCTGTAACATTAGCAGAAAGGTTGATTCAAAATCCAGAGACAGAGACCTGGATCTGAAAGTGGTGTGGCCACAACTGCAGAGGCCTCGAGGTCTCACATAGAGACATGCACCGAAACCAGGGATTGTGCTACAGCGCTCAGGGTAACAGCAGCAGACACACACACACACACAGAGGGTGAGCAGGGCAGGTGTAGGGAGGTTGGGGTTGGGGGGAGGTTGGAGGGTGGGCACAGGAAACATGGGCGTGAACATGAGGATGATGTCACCATGACAACAAGTAACAGTGACTAATACCTGACAGATTTCCTGGCAGCTTTCACAGAAAGAGAAGAAGAAAGAGAGTCACTCACTGAGCACACACACGGCTGTTTTTCAAGCTTTCAATGAAATGAGAAACAGAGCTGCAGGTTTCACAGCTTCAGACTCCACACACGCTCCTAGAACAAAGATCTAATGCCGACACACAGACCAGACTTCTAAGGTGAGACAGGAACCTTCCCCCTCATAATCTACTGTACATTTGTGCAAATTAGCCCCATGTGATACCACATTTGTATAATATATTTTAGTGTCAGTACGCAATTGAAGCTAGATATATATAGAAACACACACTCAAACTTTTCTAATCAACATGTCCTGGCTGCAAGGTTTCTAAATCCACACGTCATACACGTCACGCATGTGGCGCCATCATGTGTTAAAGAAAAGTACTGCAGGACCTTTTTATTCCTTCTTGTCTTAAACTGTGAAGAAACTTTCACAGACAGGTTCGAGTGTGCTCTCAGTCCTTGAAGATGAACATAAGCCAGTGAAATCAGGAGGTGTAATGTGACAGAACTCAAGAGCACATTTGTCTGCCATGGTGACTTAGTCGAGTCATTAGTCATGTTAATGATCAACTCAGCCGTCTGCAGGTCTGACTTTAAACCCAGCTGCTGCTCAAACATGTCAGAGAGCTTATTTTGAGGAGTGATGGAAACCAAACCTGATTAAAAATGCATTTTCAAATCCATGTTTTTATTTCTGTTATGCTCACACTGCCACAGCAGCACGGCATGACTAACCGTTCAAAATCATCTTTATCTATGTCACCCTGGGAGCAGCCCCTCTGTCTGAAACAAGCTGCTGGAGCTCCTTTCTTTGAAGGACAGACTGCAGGTGTGCTCACAGCTGGCTATATTACTGATATGACCTCTTTATGACATCATACAGATCCTATAATAGAAACAAAAACTGTGCACAGTGAGCAGGGCAGGCTGCTGACAGCTATGTTCACTACATCATTATTACAACCTCACACCACGTTTGATAATAAGAAAAACTTCCAGCACTGTGCAGGAGATCCATGACAGCAGACTGTAGAATAGGCCAACTATGACGCAACAGGTGGTAATAATGAAGCGGATTTTAATAGATAATAATTACAACTGTAGTTTGTACTTTTATTCTTTTATAACTTCAGATGTTAAACAGTTCCAGGTAAAGAGTAGAATATGTTTCTCTGGTGTCTGTAAAGTACTGAACGGCTCGTGGTTCAGGCCAGCTTATCACGCAGTGAACTTCAGGAGCTGATCAGTTTATACCAGCAGAGGGCGCTCAAAGCACAGGACCGAGGCTACTTAAACTCTGCACAATGAAGCTGTGTGATCACAGAACACCAGTGCAGCAGAGCAGAGTCAGCCAATCCGGGAACAGAGTGTCAGACATGTGACCAGGTTTATACAAGGAGTAAAAATCTCACCTTCTCCCTGCTCGTTGGTCTCACTGACAAAAACGCAGTGAATCTCCTTTATGAACTGACCCGACAGTTTAATGTCCACGTCCTGCTGCCCGACCCTGGCACACACACACACACACACACACACACACACACACACACACACACACACACACACACACACAGGAAAAAACTTTAATGTAAACACCTGCCAAGTTAGTTATACAACTCCACCAGGATTAAAGATGAAGGTGCAACTTCTCCTGCAATAAAACTAACGGAGGAGCTTCTGATGTCCAAAATCATAAAGCTGTTGCGTGTTGTTGTTAGATAACTGCGAGTCTCGTGTCTGATAAGATGATATGTAACGAGACTCATTGTCATTGTTCTCAACAAGGACTCTGTGGATCATTATTGATGTGGTGACCTCTGCACGAGCAGATTTCTGCATGCACTACATGTAAACAGTGTCGTTACTTCTACTACTACTGAAGTAAAGCAGCTAAACTAGTGATAGACTCGTGTCTGTGTGTAATTTGTTGCTTTCACACGGAGGTGAGCTGAGGCGTCTCTGACCTCTGGTCTCTTCACAGGACGACTAAAACTATTTCTAACTTTAGACTCAATTTATCAGATTTTCTGAGCAAAGACCAGCAAAGCGATCGATTAACTGATGAAATCACAGCTGACCTGGTCACGCCCTCCTTGATGTAATACAGGAGGCACTCAGACATCAGAGGGTCTTCATTCAGGTTGACCAGGTGAGGCGTCTGTAACACATACACACACAAAATTGAGTTTTACTTTTTTTTCCCTTTAAAAGTGGGGCAGATCCCCACAGTGAAAGTGAAAACTATTATTATTAGTGAAAACACTAAACACGATTAGATGCTGTTAACTTTTAACTAGCACTGAACACAGGACTGGAGCCACGACTGTGTTCAGTCAGATCCTTTTATAAACAGCATAATTTACCAAAGTGAAGCATGAATGAAGACAACACAATTAAAGTGAGTCGAGGTTGTTTTTACTGAGCTGAGCTGTCAAAACTGGTCGTTGAGGGCAGAGCGGAGGCTGTCAGACGTCGTCTTTATGAGGCAAAGATTTAAAAGTGTTGGTGAGGTCGTGGTACGGAAAGAAAAGCTGCTGCGTGATCGATCATCTCTGAGTTTTAATCTGGATTTCAAACATCTGCTCAGCAGACCGATTTTACCTCAAAGACCAGAGAGACTTAAAAGCAAACAGTGACATCATCACTTCCAAAGCTGAGTGTGACTCGACACAGGTGCTTATGAGCAGCAGACACTCGGCTCTGACTTTGACGAACACTCCCAGGCATGAAGTAAAACCCATTTATCGGCTGTTCTAACAAAACAAATCTCCAACTAACTCAAAGGGTAGATTTAACCTGACATAAAGGTGACTCCAAACAATAAATACACAGTTTGAAGTACCAGCAGGAACTACAGCTGCATTATTGTGCGTCAGCAGGTGATCACACAATCCTAAACTTAAAGTATTACTAAACCAGAGAGAAAGGTTAAATATACACTCACTCCTTTAGGAGAGAAGACGCCCAGCGTTCCTCCATCTTCCTTTATGGACACGCCCATCTCCACCAGCAGGGACTCTCTGAGGGAGTGAATGAGAAACAGAGACATCAGTCATCATCCATGTTTCTTCTCTTTGTTCATGTTTCCAAATGTTTTCACCTGTGAGTTACTGAACAAACACACTCAGCTTTTCCACCTAAACACTGTAAACACTACAATTCCCATGAGCCTCGTGTGCCATGGTGAATAAAGGGTCGTTAAGCCTGTTGTTGCCTTTATGAACCGTGTGAAATACCAAAAGTCGCATCACTCGACTGACATAAACCGCGCTTCGGTGGGTTTCTAGAGTTTTAAACCTTGCGTGGTTGCTGTTGCCGGGTTACAGACAAGAGTTTTTGACTCCATGTCAGTGCAGACGCTCCAAGACTTCCTGCTAATACAGACGAAGATGCAGCAGCTGAGATGAGACTTTTTCTACTCCTACACCTGCCCTGAGGTTTTGCCTGATAAGCTCAGGAGAAAAAGCTGACAGCACCAGTACGAACGCTGATGCTCACGGTAGCGTTAGCACTTTTACAAGTGACAACAAAACACATTGACTAAATTAACTGAAGACATGTAAAAAGCTCAGAGTCAAATAAAACGAACCTCTCCAGACGAATAGATTCTGTTTTTCTCAGTTTCTCCTCCCATGTCTCGTTCAGCTCAGCGATGATTTTCTCTGTTTCCTTAAAGCAAAAACACACAAACGTATTGTACTATAAACGCATGACTATAAAACTTCTTAATTCTCACTCAAAAAAGGTGAAATAGCAGCTCCTGTTTGCAGTTTAATCACAGATGTACAGAAAACTGTTTGTGGATTTATTTTAAACTGAGAAAATCTAAAAAGTTGAGGCTTCCCAGACACGTTCTGAAGCTGTAAGTCAGTTTTTTCATTGGATTTCCAGAAAACTATACAAAAAATAATATATCTTTCTGACAGTGGAAGCCACATGTTTCACAAATTTAGATATGATGGAATTATGAAACGTGCGAGGTGATAAAACGTCTCGCCCTACCATCAGTCTCTCAGCTGCTTCCTCTTTGCTGATGTTCTCTGTGGACTCTCCCTCCTCCCTTTCCTCTCCGTCCTCGATCAGCTGATCAGGGTCAGCGGGTGTGTCCCCTTCAGATACCGGCTCAGCGCCTGCACAGGAAATAGAACATTTATTACAAAAACATAATGGACCACTTTTGTATTTTTTTTATTTAAGTGATTAAACACAAATGCTCGGTCTTATTAGATTCCCAATAATCCACATAAACACATAGGGTGACCTGGAGGGGCGGGGCCATTCTCAGGCGTGATCCCATTGGATGTGAGAGCCAGCTGAAGAGGGGAGGGGGACGCACCTGCGACACCACTGGGGCCGTTGTTGATGTTGTTGTTGTTGTTGACTGAAATGCAGAAAGAGAGCAGGGAAGAAAAAAGTGAAAAGGTTTAATTTCTAACATGCTGGCATCTCAGCAATCCTGCTTATGTAACGACAGCTTGTAAATATCCTCACTCACACACACACACACACAGACACACACACACACACACACACACACACACACACACACACACACACACACACACAGTTGCTGTTGTCTGTAAATAACCGTCTCTACAGCATGCTGCACATAGACATGCCGTTCATACCAGGTCCAAATGAAAGAACAACAGCATGTGATGTGTACAGTTTATTAGGCCGTAAACAGACTGCATTCCATGTTTATATGAAGTGCAGTCTGAGTATCACATGCACAGCGTTTCTGTGTTTAGCAATGCATAGTGTTCACAATAGAAAAGCACATGCACTTTTTGACATGGAGAGATCAAAATCATGCAGCAGCAAGATAATGATTAACCTCATGTTGTGGACAGATAACAGATAACGTCACATTTTCTCTTGGTTGAAGTTAAAGATTATGAGCTATAGCCCTGCTCCTTCCCTCTGCTAATGCATTTGTATTAGGCTCTAGTCACACAGGGCTGGAGACCCGTTGACAATCACCTTTTGCAACTGAAAAACTTGTATTCCCCAAATGATTGCTGCTGGCACAAAAACTTGTTACAGAGAAATTTACAGTGCTGCACCAAAGCCCTGCAACTGCTTTGCTCTTTAAGAGATTGACTTGGTCTCCAGCAGTTTGTTTGGAAGATGCAGTGAAATGTGTGGCACAAACCATGAGCAGAGATCGTTTGCCTTGAAAAATCTGCATCTTTTGAAATGTGCTGGTTTCAGTAGTGAGGCTGTTATATTGTAGTTCAAGTTCCACAACAGCAGAGAGAGTAAACTGTGAATAAATGCTGACCAATCTGCATCTTCCATAAAAGCTATTGGCGACAAAGGTAATCTGTCAGCACCCAAAGCAATCGCAAGCAAAGTTTGGGTGTCAGCACCTTCTTTGTGACATTTCTCAGGTTTTCACAGGTTTTCAGGCCTGTGTGAATGAAGTGTTAGAATCACCATAGCTGTGTAGCTTCCCACCATCATTAGCCAACTAGCCCAACTTCACTAAAATAAATGTTTCTTTACATCCAAAGTAACAGCAGAGCTGAAAAGATTCAGTTTTACGAATATTTCAGTCAGAAAATCGCCTCATTCATTCTTTTTCTCATGCTTACTTTGATGTTAAACTTTTACTGTAAGACCTGGAAGAAGTAGGATTTGGACCCGGGCGTCAGACTGAACAGCAGATAAGGTTCATTATTCTGTATAAAATGTGTGCATACCAGCATTGTCCAGCAGCTCCTGCAGGCCCTGAGAAAACAGCAGATTTCTCAGTCGCTCCACTTCAGCCTTCAGCTCTCGGATCAGTTTGGCGTTTGGATCTTCATTGATCACAGCGTTACAGCGAATCTGTTTGGCACGGTCAGCATACCTGGAACCGAACCGGAGAGAATTAAGATTATATTGATCTGACTAAATCATCTGCTGCCTAAAAACGCATTAACTGATCCATAAAAAGCCTCTTAGACAGATGACACCCAGTAACTGACCTCAGAGTGCTCAGTGTTTCTTCGTAGTTGATGTCAGCAGGACTTAGCGCAGCAATCATTGCTGTGCGAGAGTTTCCTCCTGAAAGAAGCACACATCAAACCTTTAAGGTACTTAAACTAAGTCTGATATTAACTCTGCAACTCTATACATGTCTGTGTGGTTAAGTGTACTATTAGCCCTGACAGGTTAAGGTGTACTATAAGTCCTGATACAACAAGTCTTATTAATAGTTTGGTCAAAGAAACATGCCGTTGGTCCTAGTATTGACAATATTACTAATGGCTGTTAGCCTTAAATGACTCTTTCTACTGTTCTCCTTTAGCACTGGACCTACCAATGCTCTACTTACCCAGGTTTTCCTTCAGTAGCCAGGTGAGAACAGAGTCTCTGTAGGGAATAAAATCACTTTTCCTCTTTTTACTGCTCTGCTGCAGATCAGAGACAAGAAGCAGTCAGCAATCATCTCCCACATTGCACACATCTGATATTATTTGACTTGTAAATATGGACAGTGTTGAATTACCATTTCAGCCAAAGCTGAAATCACTTTTCCTAATGTGGTCAGAGATTTGTTGATGTTTGCTCCTTCCTGCATGCAAACATACAGTGAATACATGATGAATCTGGCAGTGGATGCATGAAAATGAGCAGCACATGAATAGATACATAATGTGATTGCTCCACATTATCTCCAACCTTGAGCCGCGTGCCCTTTGCCCCAGAGGAGTCTGCTCGTTCACTTCCAGCCAGGTCGACCAGACTGATCTTACTGACCTGAAGAGAAAAGTTCAAGAATCAAAATAAAGACCTGACATTTGGAAGAAAATGCCGTGCGGGGACAAAATAGAGAAGCAGACACACTTTCTCAGTGTCCAGGCTGGTCATCTGATCTCGTCGTTTTTGGGTGAAGACGATGGTGAAGACGGCGTGGGACCTGGATGACGTCTCATTCATGTTTGTAGCTGCAACCGTCCTGCAATCAGAAATGAACTTGATTATTTTGATGTTACTGCAATTCATTCTTTACAATAATAATAAAAAA